GCCACATGTATTGGCAGTTTTATTTACTTAACCAAAAGAATGTTTATGTAAATGTACTTTTAAAGATAAAGGGAATAAATCAAAGTCCTTTTATTTTTATCTTATTTCTTGTATGAATGATAAATTAATTTACTTTATCATTTGAAAGTTGGTTAAAACTTCAAATGCTTGTGCCGGAATGAACAAGGGATGTTCTCTTCAACAACACCGTAAACATAATGGCCCTCTCTTATGAAACCCTCATAGTCAAAGAATAGATTTCGAAAGTATTTATGCTCGTAGTCAAAAGATATTGGATGTGAAAAGATTCCCGAAGCTATGTTAGTTAAATGAAAAAGAATACTTCTTTCATTAATTATAATTTCAAACTCAATAAAGAAGTGTTGGCATAGTTACAAAAGAAAAGAAAAATATATACATTAATTTTTGCTGCCAGAACCCGAAGGGAGAGAAGAGTCTTCGTTTTCTTTATTGGGAGAAGGCTGTTCCGCTTTCGAATCATGGCCTTCATCTTATCTCCATCTTCTTCAGCTTCCTCTTTGGTTCCCGAATACTCGGAGTTAGTATTCGAGGAGTCAGAAGTAGTGGACCGATATGGGAGGTTCTTGAGCGTGGTTGTCTCTAGTTCACGAGCTTTGGAAATGTAGTCATCAATGTTTGCAAGGCCTTCTTTGGCCTCCTCAAAATTCTTCCTCTCTGTATGATATATGGCATAGATTTTGTCGAAGAGGATAGAATCATCTTGGTCTTGGAGTTTAGCTCGGAGTTTTTCAATCTTGAATTGGAGCTTTTCATTTTCAGCTTTCATAATGCTGATTTTGGAATCAAACACAACATTGGTGGTCGAGTGAAGTTGATTCTGCTCCATGGCCCTTTTGAGCCTTTCTCCATTTTTGATCTCTTCTCCTCGGCAACATTGGCCTCCTCGGTTTTGGAGTGTAAGCTAGCCTCCAAGTTGTTGACTTGCTCCATGAAAGCAAACTCACGCTCGGCGGCAGCAGTCATAGTATCATGTAGGTTAGCCCACTTAGCCTTTGCATCCTTAAGGTTTTCATGCAATTGAGCGGCCACTTGGATGTGGGCCATTCTATCTTGCTCGGATTGCTGCAAGAAGGCCTCAAGATCATCCATTTGAGAAATTTTTGCTTCCATCACCGAGAGGCACTCAGCAAGCTAACTCCGTTCAACCAAAAATTGATCTTGTTCTGAAGTAAGTGCTTGTTTATCCAAGGTCAACCTTTGCAGGCCTTCAGAAGCAAGAAGGTTAGCCAGAAGAGGTTAAATCTAAGGTTATTAATTCAAAATATAACAAATGAAGAGGGGTGGGGATGATTATATTGACACCTGTGCCGAGCAATGCATGTTATTGTTTAACAGACACTCTGTAGAAAGAGAGTCCATTTTTTTCAATCTTTTTCTGTGGCTAGCGGCTTCAGATAATTAGAAAGCGTCATCGGCTTGGAATGTATATGGAACTCATTCGAACCCGTAAGGATGGCATTTTGTTTTCCATTAGGGTCTTGAGTGGGTGCCGAGTAAGTATTTCCTAAATTTTCATAGTCGGGTGACCGTGGGGAAGGGGCATCTTCCATCCGTTCTGATGGCACCGGCGGAGTGGAAGCAGTTGGTGTAGAAGGAGAGGTAGTTGTTATTGGCTCAAAAGTCGGTGGTGGAGGAACATCAGGGACTGAACACCTTTGACAAGAGGTGTTGATAGGAGTTGCAAAATGGGAATCGACATTTTCAACCAAATCCATTTCCCTAAAGAGTCTCTGGACTTCCCCCGGTGGTGGTGTTCGAGGCTCTCCCGACTGAGCATCTGGTTGAGCTGATGAAGGTCTTTTTCTTCTCTGAAGGGCAACCACTTCATCATCAGTTTCTTCATCATCAAGGATCACTGTGGCCGGTCCGGTTGGCGTTTCTTTCACTCTCTTCTCCCCAATCATAGCCGAGGAGGTATGTTTCCTCTTTAGTTTCTTGTTTTTGGGATGGGGACTCCGGGAGGAGGCACCTTCAACAGAAGCGAGAGTAGATTCACGAGCTCTCCTCCGAATAAGGAAATTTTGCAGTACCCGTTCGGCTTCCACCGGTCATCGAGAGACTCGATGTCGGGGGTAAAACAATGGATCCCTTAGGAAGTCCTGTATGGTACAAAAAGATCTTGAACCCACGGTGGTTCCCAATGAGTAGCTGGAATAAGGAAAATATAAACTTAGTAACAATAGAAGGTCTTTTTAAACATAGAAAGAAAAAGATATCCGAAGACTTACGAAAAAGATTCCATGATTCAGGAAAGACAGGTGTTGTGGTCGGGAGGATGCCCCTAATAGAAATAATAACGAACCGTTCCATCTATCTACAGTCATTGTCGTCGTCAATGCTGGTAAGAAGGGCATGATGACTGCGTTTGCGAAGTTTTAGCACACCCCCACAGAAGATCTATGGGGAATAGAGATTCATTATCTGATAAAGGATTAGGGTTTCTCCGATTTCAAAACACAGTTGGCGGAGGCAAGCCTCTGTACACCAAACTGATTGGCCTGCTTGTGCCAAATAGATTTGGTACCGGTGAGAAAATTTCAAAATTAGTGGGTCGATTTCTTTACCCACTCCCAAGGTGAAGGTATGTATAAATATACATGAACCCTAGTTTGGATAACGTGACCCTTTTTATTTCATCAGGGGTAATGATTTCAATATTGTTCCATGCTTCCTTCACAACAAGGATGCTGGAACGATGAATGAAAGAAGGGTACCCACGAACAGGTCAGTGTCTGTCACTTTTGGGGTTAATGAGATATTTTTGTTCTTGAAAAATAGATTTTGTGGTAAGTTGAAGGGGTATGATGGAGTTCACGGTAGGAGGTTCAGACTCAACATAAACCTTTTTTTATTTTGTTCTTCTTTGGGCCTCCACGGAAGAGAAGGCCAGAGTTTTCGATGGCGACGTGGTCATCTTAATGATTTTACTGAGAGGATTGAATTTTGGAAGTAGGGTTCTTAGATAAATCAGAGAAGAAAAAGGAGTTGTAAAGGTAGAGAGTAAAAATATGAGTACAATTTTACGTGTCTATAAACTACGTTAGAAATTCAACTGTATAATTTTACGGGTAAACACACTTCTTTTTCCAAATCTTGAGCTATTGTTTTTTGACAAGGCAGAGATGATGACGAGATTTTATTTCGGATCAGATATGGATAATGTGGACATAAATCCAAAACTATTAATTTGACATACTTATACTTAATACATAGAGCATACCAATAGGGTTACTTTCACTGATGGTCATTGAACTATCTTCCAATTTCACTAAAGTCATTCAATTTATTTTTGTCACGTAAAAGTAACTAAACTTTATCATTGTCACTTAAAAATTATTTTGCCTCAAACCCCTATTATAAATATGACATGGCATAAAATTTAATAAGAAAAATTCAAAAATAAATGCCACATAAGCTTAAATGGGTCATACCCACTTTAGATCCATGTCTCCCTTAATGAGATTTGACCCAAAACCCAAATGGGTTTCGATAAAAAAAAAATTTAATTCCACATTAGTTTAAAATGATTATCGTATACTCAAAGTTTTTGCCTTTTTTGTTACATAATGCACATTCATAATTATTCTATACTAAAATAATCTATGCTAGAAAATTCTTATTTTGTTTGTATGCACTATCCGAGTCATTTTATAACTCTATTGAAGCTAAAATACTATTGTATCCAACTCACATAACATATTTATAATTTTCTAGTGAAGTTAAAATACAGTAGTATAAAAAGGCAAAAATTTTATAGTATAGGATAATTATTTTAAACTAATGTGGAATTAATTTTTTTTTAATCGAAACCTATTTGGGTTTTGGGTCAAATCTTATTAAGGAAGACATGGATCTAAAGTGGGTATGACCCATTTAAGCTTATGTGGTATTTATTTTTGGATTTTTCTTATTAAATTTTATGACATGTCATATTTATGGTAGGGGTTTGAGGCAAAATAATTTTTAAGTGACAATGATAAAGTTTAGTTACTTTTAAGTGATAAAAAATAGTTGAATGACTTTAGTAAAATTGGAAGATAGTTCAATGACCATCAGTGAAATTAACCACATACCAACGTCATCTTATGTTCTCTAATTAATATTCTAATTCTCATAATTGATCAACATTGAAAATTTTCTTTAGGTTATTCATTATGCTTTATTTATTATTAGGTGGAAAAACATAATGAATCTTTTATATTCTATATACGGTTCTTTTAAACATGTAGCTGAAATAAATATTTTTGTTCAAATTCAGAGTCTATCTATCAACAATATTCAATATTTTTGTAACGGCGGTCAGTTTTTAGTTTCTAAGTGACAAAATGGGAATCTCTCCTGTAGACATGTAAGCTTGTTTAGAACAAATTTTCTCCTTGTCTGACCATTTTATTTTATGTGGCATAATTTAGCCGGTCAAAAAGTTCAAGAAATATACCATGAAATTGTGTGGTTAAAAAACCAATCCATTAAAGATAAAAATAAGAACTTTAAAATTAAATTATTTTTAAATATAGAAATGTATTTTTTTTTATAAATAAACTGATAAAGAAATAAAACTGAGGAAGAGTAAATCATTTTAATAATTACTAATACTTCCTCCGTTTTAAATAGATTATCATAGTTTGACTTAACATAAATTTTAATTAAAAAAAAAAAGACTTGTGAGATATTTAGTCGTAAGTAAGTCATACATTTGTATGACGGTAAAACTTTTGAAATTTGTGGTTTAAAATTTACGTGGTTATAAATACTTTTATTAAGAAAAATTAAAAGGTGTCAATTATTTTAAAACGGAATAATAATGAAATGATGTTATTCGTTTTGAAACAAAGAGAACGTGGTTTTTGTCTCTTAAAATTATTAACTATAGATAATTGAGCATTTCTCGAGAAGATCCTTCATTATGCTTGTGCGCGGCAAACGTCAATGCACATACTAGAAAAGAGAGAACGATATATTTACCGTAGCTGAAATTTATATTAACTTAACCATCATTTGTACAAGCAAACCCAAAATTACTGTCTAAACATCAACGCAAAGTAAAAAAGAGGAAATAAAGAAGAAGAAGGGTTACAATCAAACATTAAAATGACCAAACAGTAGACGAATATAAAGAGGAACTGCCTTTTTTAAAAATAAATATTGTATCACATTTAATTTGATGTAGTACGTCTGGATCGGATCTTGACCATAAGTGGGTGGGCCATTTCACAAGAGAGTTTCAATACCTCAGATAAGTCAACGTTGCTACCGGGCCCAAACTCGAATTCGTGCAAAAGCGTTGCAACCCAAAAAGTGACTGTGGTCAAGCCAAGTGTCTTTCCAGGGCAAGATCGCCTTCCGGACCCAAATGGTGCCAATCTTAGGTCAGACCCTAACACCGAGAAATCAACGTCAGTATGAGCTTTGGTCACGAACCTTTCGGGCTTAAACGTAAGAGGGTCGGTCCAAACTTCTGCATCCCTCGTGATGGCCCACATGTTCACCATGGCCGTGGTCCTAGCCGGCACGTGATAACCATCCACTATGGTATCCGTTATCGAAAGCCGGGACCATGACAGTAGTGGGCCAGGAGGGTGCAATCTGAGTACTTCTTTTACTACCGCAGGTAAATATGTCATCTCTGTTATGTCGGATTCTGTTACGGCTCGTGATCTACCGACGATTCTGTCTATCTCGGCTTGGACTTTTGACTGAACATTCGGATGAAGGACAATTCGTGCTAATATCCACTCTAGCAACACTGTCACGGTGTCAGTCCCCCTAAATATCATTTCCTGCAAATACGACACATAAAAGTAAACGTCAATATTTATACACTTATGATGTGAAAATTAGTAAAAAGTAATTACACATAACAAGTGCAAACTAATATCCAAAAAAAAAGATAGATAACTAGTTGCAGCCTATTTCGATTATGGTTCGTTATTCTTCTATAAATCCCCACAAGCAAAAAGAATATTAATTAGCATTTTGGACATATTAGATATTTTTTTTACGTATTTAAATAAAAATAGAATCGAAGAGCAAATGCGCCATGGTCCCGATTAAAAAAGAAGAGAAATAGAAGAGGTAGTTTCTTCCAATCCAATTGTGATTATGAAATCATAAACGTGCTGATTCCAAGTGTGTTACTGCCTGCATTGACCTAAGTTATTTTTTTTCACATGAAAGATTTATTTTTACACGTAAGAGATCTATCTTTTACACATAAGAGATCTAAAAAGATTTTTTTCTTAAATTATAAATTGTAAAAGGGAATGATGTATAAATAACACCATCAAATGAGACGGAGTAGCCAAAAGATATTAAGGAGCAAAAATTCTCGAAAAGGACTAGTCATTTAAGAAGAAAAAGAACTGGTTAGTTATGTTCGTTTTGTTTTGTATTCCCTATGTTTCGAAAAGAATGAACCTATTTTCTTTTAACTCAGTTCCAAAAAGAATGACCTTTTTCCAAATTTAAAAAGAATATAACTTTAATCTTATAATTTGACTCTTAATGAAACGATATATAACTACACATATATATATATAAATTATTTTAGACCACGAGTTTCAAAATGCTTTTTCACCTTAAATTCCGCGCTAATTGACACGAAGTTCGCTTACCCAAAGTACTGCAATCATATCAGATTCTGATAAACTCTCTGAACCTTGAAGAGATAGCAAAACATCCACAAAATCACGATGATTTTCACCAGATTGAGCCTTATGTTCCTCAATAATCCTTCTCACAAACTTATTCACTTTTGGCACAATCTCTGAACACCTCTGTTTAATTTTCTGTGGATCAAATTCAGATAACCAAGATAAATGGTCAGACCAATTAAGCATACCCAATAATTCATACCCTTCATCTACCAATTTTATCAACTCCTCAATCTCCATATTACAAGAATCAAGATTGTAAAATTTTCCAAAAACAGAAGACATCATATTATTTAAAGAAGCCAATTTTAAACCATCTCTAACACGTAAAATGTCATTTGGACTGTCTTTAAACATAGTAACTAATTGTTTTGCAATTTGGGACCTTGGTTTTTCAGAGGCTATAATTTGCTTAGGAGAAAAAAGATGAGCAGCTGAAATTTTTCTAAGTGTTCTCCAATAAACACCATAAGAAGCAAAGCCAATTGCTCTATTAAACATTAGCCTATAGGCTGATTCTTTAACTGGACGATCAGCGAAAACTGAACTGTTGAGTATTTCTTTTGCTACATCTGGATTACATGTAACAATGACTCTTGTTTCACCTAGGCTAAAAGACATTAAACGTTTGGCTTGTAAATTTTCTGCCATGGCTAATATTTTGTGGTGTGCTAAACCAACCATAAGGTTTATACTTCCTATTATAGGAAACCCTTTTGGGCCTGGAATTGGTTTTGACACTAAAGAAGAATTATTTTTCAATTTGTGTTTGCCCCAAGCAGGACCACCAGGGTAAGACCAGTAAATAAGGTTCATAACTAGCCAAATGAGAACAAGAAAGAGTGGGAAAATAATTGAGTTTAAGGAGGAGAAAGATTTGCATTTTGAAGCTAAAGCAAAAACCCAAAGGCTTTCTATGTCTGTTCTCATGATTCTTTTGGGAGGAAAGATTTATATGATAGAGAGAGAGAGAAAGGGAAGGAGTGAGAAGGAACTATATTTGGTGTAGGTGTATTAATGAAAGAGGTATTGGCTGGTTTATATAGAGGAGCAAATGGAACTATAGTTGACAGCAGGAGAGTATAACTGAATTATTTTTAATTTTAAAGGTCGTATGATGGATGAGCAAAATCTAATCCTGAGATAAAAATTCAGTATCATCTTATCCCTTATTTGGTTACTAATTATGAGATAAGTTATTCCGAGATTAAAAATTGTACCGAGATAACTTATATCTGCTAGAAGGTAGAATAGTAATCTCAGGATAAAACAGTAAATTTGGTAATCCCAACATTAATACAACATATCAAACAGTGAATAAGAAATAATACCAGAATTAAATAACTAATTCCAAAATAACTAATCTAAATATAACTATATCAGCATAACTAATCCCAACATAAACGTGACTTCAAATCATACGGCCCTTACTTTATTCTTACGGAGTACCATTTGTCCTCCGTCCTCTTTTATGTGAATATGTAAGAAATTAAAGAAGAGTTTTGATATATAGATCAAATATATGCAAAGTAACAAAATTATTCGGTTAAATAAACAGAGATGAGAGTTTCATGTCTTTACATTTCCTCTTTTCTTATAAAAGAATTAACTTTTAAATCAAATGGGTCGCAAAAAATCACGTCATTAAGAGAAATTGTAAATACTAAGATTAAATAAGTTTCAGAAAGAGAACAATGTTATTTATTTGAGACTTATTTATTAAGAAAGAAAGTATATGAAAATGGGAGAGGAGTAACATAGTTTTTGTTGAGGTCAATGTCACGAGGTCGTCTTTTGCGCCACTATCGGTGATGTGGCAATGGCATGCTTGAGAACTTGAGAGATCCACAGTTATCTTATTCAGTTATTCTGGATATCTAACAAACCCTTCTTGTTTATCTGCCTATTCATCTTTTACCCTGATTTAATTTTGTTTACCCGTAAAACGGTACAATTGAATTTATACGTGGTTTCTAGACAAGTGAACTAATTTGATCCTGAAATAATATAATAATCGAAAAAATACGCAGTACTTAACCTTGGCATGTAGATGAAATAGCAAAGATAGTGATTCCGTGAACACGGTTTTTCGAACACAGCAATAATGGGATCAGAAAGCAAGAGAATGAAATTGTATAAAGTTTTGTATAAAATATAATATATGTTCTTGCCAGAAACTTTGTGTGTCATACAATGATAACTGAGCTCACTATTTATAGCTATGTCTAGTGAAGAAGGTCCTAGGATCGTACCCTCCTTTAATGTGAATTATGAGAATCATTGATTGAGATATAACGTTGAGTATAAATGCCAAATTCTCTGTAACGCTCTTAATGCTGTAGAATATTCTGTAGTAAATGCTACCGGGCGCAGAATTTTTAATACACTTTTATGAACGTTATCCGTTCCGGTGACAAGCGTAGTGGCTGCGTTTGGTCCTCAACCATCCTATTTGGATTCCAAGTGTCCTCCTTTTAGTCAGCCAAGTATCATATCATATTTTACCCTATATAAATAGTCCCCCAGCTTTTCGGTGACATAACTTTGTGTTACCGGAAAGTTGGTAGTAACACCTTTTTGGCAGGAATTACTATAACTCCCTCTGAAGGTCGCTGACAGTTGATTAGACGCACGTCTCTCCGTATTTAATGCCCTGAATACGCGTCATCCCATAATTTAGCACAGCCATTACCGATTATCGAGGTAATCATGGCCATGAATTTAGCCGCCAGAATATTACTTATACGCTACTTTCTTTTCTTTTACGCTTCACAATTGCTTGAGTTTCTGATTTGCATCCTTGTTTTCCATCATTTTCCTAATTTTCTTCAAACACAAACTCTTTACCTTCTTTTTTCCCAATGGTTTCTTCTTCCAAACCTGGTGGTTCTTCAAAGAATAAGAACAAAATTGAGGACTCCATTCCTCCAACAGTGGATTCCATCATCCTAAGGAGGCTTAGTACTTCGAAGGATTTCGAAGAAAAATTTCCTACCGGTAACCCTCGTACATGGGCTATTAGTAGGCATCCTTCTTCCATTCGTCCTTCCAGTATCCTTGCTGTGAAGAAGGATTGCTGCTGCAATGAATTAGAAATCATCGCTCCTGATCTATCGGAGCGAGTGACCCTTCCCAAGGAAGGTTTTACATATTTTTTCACGTATCCCTTCACTTTGGGTGCGTTTTCTTTGAGCGGAGAGCTTGATTCTGTGATTGCGGAATTTCGCCTTCGCTACCAGGTATGTTTGGCACAGGTAAGTCCTTCAGTATGGAGGACGATCGCCTGCCTCCGACATTTGTGCCAAGAAACTGGAGAGGAGCTAACCTTAGCTCATGTGATGAATCTCTATTCCCCCAAATTCTTTCGCACGGGAATGATAAACCTTTGCAAGTGTGGCCCCCATGCTTTGTTGTCTAGCATGAATGATGACAATGACCGTGGGTGGATGGAGTGGTTCGTTGCACTTGCTACCAATGACATCATTCCGATAATGGCTTCATCCTTTCCGGTTGCTTGGAATTGCACTCGCAAGTTTGTTGTATAATATTACTCTTACTAAATATTCTTCTATGGCCGTATCATCTCTTCACCCTTCGCATATTTCAGCAACTCGATGGCTCCCACTGGTGGTGGAAGGTTTGAACTGTGGGTTCAGAAGATTTTGGATGTCACAACGCCCGAAACTCGTTCGTGGAAAGAACTAGCCCTTAAATATGGGTGGAAGGCCAAAATTCATGGTAACTTTAATTTACCTTGCTTCTATTTTTGTATATGAAGAACTTGGTTGAACCCTTCTGACTTTGTTCATGGAATTAGGTCTACCTGCGGGCTCTGTTGCTGTCCCCGATGAGGACGTTCTGGCTAATCCTGCTGATGCAGTGAGGCTGCTTCAGGAAGCACTTACTCGAACAAGTATCTCTGGGCCTGTTTCGGGTGCAAATATTTCTTTACGGAGTCCCCGGCCGGAGGATAATCAAATAAAGAGAAGACGCTCCTCCGCGGCCAGGGAAAAGAATAAAAAGGCAAAGCTTGATGCCCCCGAATCATCTCAGGTGGCGATGATGACTGGTCCTCCTTCTAGGCCGGTCGGAGACACCGTGACGATTGATGATGATGAAAAAGTTGTTGATGAGGGAGCTTCTTTACATAGAAGGCGACGATCCTCATTATATCAACAGGATGCTCGGCCTGTTGAGATAGTTACACCAACCGAAGACGATGTCTCGGCACTTTGGGGAGAGTCTGATTTGATAAAATATGCCAACTCCCGTTTTCGGGCCCCAATTGCTGCAACCGGTGCTGCGGGGCTGAGTACCAAGTCCCTGCTGTCTTTGGTTGGCGAGCGTCAAATAACCAGCACTGCATTTGATGTAGCTGTTTCTCACTCTTCAACTCCATCAGCTTCATCTCCACCTTCACTAACACCAGCAACTGCTACATTATTTCCATCTTCGTCTACTCTTCCACTAGCGGTTGCTACACCATCTTCATCAGCCGCACCTGACCATGAAGAAGGTGTTCCTCTTCCACAGTCCCCAGTTCATGGGAACTTGGGGCAAAATTGTGCTGCTCCTTCTGAAGATCCACAAAGGAGGAGAAACATTACTCTTTCGGTCTCTACCGGGTGCAACCTGCTATCACGGCTGGTGGATCTTGCTAATTACCTGAAGCCTTTGGCTTTAGAGAAAGATTGGGTAAAGATTCAGACACTCTCGGGCGAGTGTTTGTTGATGTTTGCTATGCATAACGCCGCGACGGTACATTCCTTCTTTCCTATGTCATTTCTTCTACTTTTGAACGAATGTGTTCTATGTTTTTCCTCTTCTTATTTTATAGGCCAACTTTCTTGCCTCTGAGGGCCTTCAAAGGTTGATTCGTGAAATGGAAGAACTTACTTTTGAAGGGGATCAACTTTTGGCGGAATGGGACCAGATTGTTCTCTGCCTCTCGGAACTGGAAACCAGATCTACTGAGGCCACTGTTTTGGAGGCTCATGTACAGCAAAGTGAGTAAGAAGTGGTAACCCTCAGCCAAGAAATTAGGCCGCTGAGGGTTAATTTTGATGAGGCCAAGTCCAAATGGGCAAAAGTCCAATACGTCGTTCTTGCTGCAACTGACCGTGAGGCTTCCTCTGCTGAAAGAGTGATTAGCTTGGAGGCAGCCTTGAACTCGAAAAGTCAAGAGGTTGCTATTGTGGAGGCGAAACATGCCCAGCTAGAAGAGAAGTAAAGAAAAACTATCGAGCATAATAGGCTCTTTAGTTCAACTGTCCGCGAGCTTGACGTCAGCCTCAAATCTGCTAGATTCGCCCAGGAAAACCTTTCTGCCGAGGCTATTCAACTAAAAGAAGAACTTAAGCGCCAAGCAGCTTCCCTCATTGTTGAAAAAACTTATTCCATTTATAGCATGAGGAGGAAAACCTTGGAAGAGGCCGAAGTTGGTATCATTGATATTGATGCCGAAATTGCTAAGGCCCGAGAGCTTGAGTTGGCTGCAAAAAATGGACTCCCGGCGTAGTCTGATGCTCCAGGTTCTTCTGATTCCGGTTCCGAGTTTTCTAAAACTGAATAAGGATCAGAAGGCGATGAGGTCGAAGACCAAACTGGGGAAAGCGTTGAGCCATCGGCGGAAACACCTACTCTTCCCGGCAATGCAGATACTTCTCTTCCTCCTGGTTCCGGAAGCGCTGCAGTTTAACATTTTCTTTTCCCACTTTTCACTTGTAACGTTTTAACCCGTTCATGTAAATAAAGACATATTTTATTCTTTTTGTTCAGGTGTCGTTTGAGTCTTACTTATGCAAGCCTTTAACTTTTGCATTTGCTCAGGTATTCTGCGCATGTTGTTCCATTCGCACTTTACTATGTGTAGTCTCGGATGCCTTTTCTTCGAAGCATTTTGGTTTTGAGTATTATCCCTTTTACGTGAGGGTTTTCATGAATCTTTACACAAGTTTCCCTTTTACATGAGGGTTTCTATGAATATTTGCGCCACTTTTCTTTTGGCGTCATTTTCATAT